GGGCGAAGGCACGGTCTCGACGCGCGAGGGAGGGAAAGCGGCCCAAGATGCCCACAACACCGCGACGGCATGGCGCTCGGCGCTACGGAGTCCAAGTCTACCGTGGCGCACTGCACGTGTGGCAGCCAAAGCTGGCAAACCGGAAGCCGTATCAGCATGCAACAAGGCAGCCAGGCACAGAAGCGTCCGTTGACGACCGTGTGTCAGTGTCAGAACGTGAAACATGTTTGCTTGCCAATTCATTCATGGTAACAAGGTACAGGGAACAATAAGCTGCGAACCCGGCAAATAAAGCGAACATCCCTTCAATGAGTGTTGGCAAATTCATTTTTCCCTGGCGGTGAACAACATGTACAATTACGCAGCCTACGCAAGCGGCACTCACTGGGTTTCATAAGATGAGAATGAAAAATGGTTGCAAATGTCTTCAAGATTCACATGCCGAAGCGGCTTGGCAAACATGTGCGACATAGGCAACATCGCGTGGAATATCACGCGCGCTGTTGATGCAAGAGTTAAGTGCTGAACGGGGCAGTGCCACCAGACCAGGCTGTTGCATCCAGCGCTGGCGTGCGCTTTGATGTGCGCTGCAATGAAGCACGGCATGTTCAAGGGAATCCATGCCGACGGCACATAAACGACACAAAGTTAAAGGGTTAGTATGACTGTGTCGAGCAGACCGCCCATCCAAGTCCTGATGTCCGCATCGGGCAAAACCCCAAGAACGAGCTCGCAATGGACACGTCTGTTGCCCGTAAACTACAGGGTGTAGGTGTGGCGCCGGCTGCCACTGCAAATGCTGCAACAGTGAATCGGTGTTCTGGGCGACGGCCTGAAAATGAATGAACGAATGATTGCAAGTGACATTTTGTGCATGCTGTAACCATCGATGCATCACGGTGCGTGGTGCATTGGGGGCAATGCCACAACACGAAGGGTCAGGCACCCCAATCTGCTGCAACTCGGTCTGAATGGCAGCAGCCCATGAGGAAGGTTGCGTAACAGCAAAATGGCCAACGCGCGCAGCCGGGCAGCTAGAGGGCATGCACAAGCAGCGGGCCCACAGGCCGGCCGCAGATGTAACACGCGAAGACCACAAATCTAGCCAACCTTTATGGGCGCTGCGCGGCCATAAAAGCAAGCGACGACCCCATTGGTACACTCGAGTCTGCAATCTCTTGAGCTGGGGGCCTGGAGGCACCATTTTACCAAACTCAAGCCCAAAGAGTGCGCTGGGATAGACATAAGAATGGAAGATGCGGTTGGCAAATAGAACGGGTAAATTTTCAACCGCAGCCCAAGATAGACAAGCTGCCATTTTACCTTTTCCACGGGATAGTAAACTATCAACATGGTGCCGCCAGTACGATTTTACAACAGGAGGCAATGCTAAACCACCCACAGGGAAAAAGGATTGCAGCTCTTTCGGAGTGATGGCAGCCGAGGTCCGCGAACCGTTCATTTTTCTTTTGCGCACCTTTTTGCACCCGATACCCAATAGGACAAAAGAGCTGCGAAGTCGCATATTCACACTGGCTTCGCGACTTGCGGGTCAACTCGGATGGCACATTTATACCACGGACTGGTTACCAACAGAAAAATGGTGGCATAATTTCAATGAAAATTCGAGCGAAAGCCTGGTCGTCCCGTTACGCACTGGGATGATGATTTTTTTGTTAAACATGTTCGCTGCGACTCACCTTGTCCCAAACAGTTGGATCGATTGTGCTGCATCGTCGCCCGAATGGCACCCGTTGCAGAGCTTTTTTTTTTCTCCGCGCCTTTTTGCGGCTGCAAGAGGGTCCAGGTCCCAGGTTTACACCCGCGTAGTAGAAGAGGGCCCTCGCCATCTCACCGCGTGAGCGAAGCGGCAGCCTGCCGGGGGCGCTCGCAGTAAAGGCGTGCATATGCTTTTCCTGACATTCCCCATGTCCTGTTAGGACGGTAGTCTTGGACTCGAACGGGCGGGCGCAAAGCAAAAAACACCTTCTTGCGACAGCAAGTCAACGCGAGCGTCCGCAAGGAACTCGTGAAAGGCTGGGGGCAGGCCGGCGATCCATCGTAGCGGCGACATTTCGTTGTCCACAACACAAGCGCTGGCGATTGCAAATCGCGAAAAAATTCGGGGACGCGTTCCCGGGAAGTCCGTTGCCGACTGAAGGTTTCTGACAAATTGAAAAGGTACGTCGTTGCACTAAGCAGCTACGCCCAGACATCCCCAAACACCGTGCTATGAGCTACAAATCATGCAAAGTGCTGTCACAATGCGAGGTTATGCCGATTTCAATTATCAGTCATTGGTTTTACAGCGGCGACCCGCCGACATATATAGACCGTAGTTGGCATTGGATTTTTTTGACGTGCAGTTGCAATGAGGTGCGTTACAAGCAAACTGGGCAAAACTATCTCTACAAGGTGGACTCTGAGTGGCGACTGTCCATTGATGGTTCGACTATGGTCTCTACCTGGAATGCCGGGGCTCACACTGTCAAATCTCAAACCCAACCGCAAAAGGTTTCCCAACATACATAAGACTTGTGTTTTAGTGTGCAGTCAACTATTTCAGCGTGCTGAATTGGTTCGAGCAATGTACCATACACAATCAAGGTTCTTGTCAAACCCGAGCGATGGCGCGTTTGGGGGCACAGGCTGGGGAGCCGAACACAGCGGATGTGGAACATGCAGCTCGATGGTTTTCGTACGCATCGAGCACACCGGGGAAGGAATAATTGCGCGGGTTCAGCAGGAGGGGCATGTGCAAGCGCCGCAGGAGCAGGAGGCGGCAGAATGAACCGGCAAGACCATGAAGGTTTGGGCCGAGTGTGGTCCAGCTTGCGAGCACGGGACGCAGGGGACAAGTCAGCGATGCGTGTCTCCAGCAGGCAGTAATCGCAGTCATGGCAGGCTTTGCGCTGCTAGCCTCGAAGGAAATCTGCAGGCTCGTCATATCGTGCATGGCCTTGCATCGCCTGACGTCTCCGACAAAATTTGCATGTCGAAGACCGAGCTTGAAGCAACTGCATGAAGCTTTCTGATGTGCTGGAGGCTTTCCGAAATGCACGCACAAGGCCCCTTTCGGCGGCTAGTTTTCTGGGAGTCCGCGGAGCGATGCTCGAAAGGGTTGGGAGAGGACAGTTGACGTTCCCTTGAATGACGGGCCGGCTCCCCTCCGTTGGTCTCGGCTGATGCACGCCGACTACAGCTGGCAATGTCACACTTGTACACGTAAAGGCGCGAATAATTCGAACTTGTACCTCAACTGTGAACTCTTCCTCCTGTTCCGTGCGAGCTGCAGTAGCTGCAGGGCTGTTGGACAAGTGCTACAACGCCGAGCAGCACTGATGCACCGATTCGTACCCAAGGTGCGCCTCATTTTAGAAAAAATGCAACGTGCTGTGAATTCGTCCCAGCCATTTTCACATAGAATTGCTGTTCCGGGTGAGCGCAACGGCCAATTCAGAAGGCATCGCTTCCACCTGCGAAGCTGCCAGTCCAGAGGTCGCACACGGAGAGGTGCGATGGCGAGGACGCAGATACCCGGTAGCACAGCATCATGGCGGGCAAGGCATACAGGGCGGCACCGGTTGTTTGGCCGCCGGCTGCTGCCGGCTCGGTACGGCGCGGTCTCAAAGTAAGGAAAGACACCAAACTTTCATCGACTGCAAGCTGGACGCACGCGCAAAGCGGCAGCCCATGGGCGACGATTGCAACTCTCCGCTCATCCTGGCGCTGCAGTGCTAGGAGGTCACGAAGCGGAACATTTGCGGCCACAGCTTTCCGGCATACCCAGCAGCCACGTTCCAAGTCAGGAGATGTTGCAATTGATACTGCAATTGATGACGTGCGCTCCCTGCCCTGCAAATGATGCGCATGGCCGTGTTGCAAAAACAAGTTGACCACTGGTCGCGACACCAGGCGCAGCGATTTTAGCTTCTCGTGACTGCAGCGCGGGTGAGGGTGGATACTGGTGGTAAGAAGCATCGAGCCGTGTTGACGGCTTTGGCAGGGACGTGCAGGGCGAAAGCTTGCATTGCAATCCCCGCAACCAGAATTTGCGTGGAACGTGTACAACCGTGGTTCTTGATGGTGCAGTTTGGGTTGCTGAGCACCGCCATCATTCAATCCATTTCATTTTCCGATTTTGAGATTCAGAATCGATGCCTCGAGATCCGTGCTACAACTCTTAGACGTTGATTTGGAACTGGTTTTTGTTCTCTCGATTCGAAGGTCAGAGTCGGCCATGTGACCTAGCCGACCGCCCCGTTTTGCTCGTGCGAGCATGAGTGGAAAGATCGGGATTTAGCATCCATATATGGATATCAAAGTAAAGCTATGGCGCATTCCGCTAAGGATGCCAATCCGAGTCAGCCATGTTGCGGACGTTCTTCAGTGTGACATCCAAGCTAACCTTCAAGCAAAATTTCTGCAAGTGCAAATGATGTCAGAATACTCCGCATATTGACACTGTCAATGAAAAACCAAGCAACAACTTTGCTGAACGCATCGCCAACCAACATCTGCCCGAAGTCCGCAAAAAACAGCCTCGGCTTTTGGCTTCATCGGCTTCCCAGGGCACTCGAAGGCCCCTTCAGATCCCACGGCAGGCATCCCAGAAAGGTCAGGATGCTCCAGGCCCAAGCAGAATCCCACGGAAAAGTGAAATCATCACACAGCACAAAAAAACCGCATCTGCAGCGAAGTGGCGCGCTGCCACCGGCCCATGAGCCGATATCAATGATCGTACGTGGCTGCAAGTCGTCGATCCTAAATGCCGGCTTCAGTTCAGGCCATGCCACTTGGTGAATTGTGTGCTGGGTGGGGGCGACCATGAGACACACATGCCGCATCTTATTTTGACACGTGGCATTGTCGCATACATCTGCCAATCGAACGCACTTTTTCCTTGGACCAACGTATTGGAGCTGTCTTTCATTCGCAACATTTGTCTTGTTTTGACAACTCACATGAGCATTGCTTCACTGGTCTGATGCAGCCAACAGAATCCAAAAGGAAGACCACGCCATGTGCTGTATGCCTGCACAGCGATGGCTGGATTTCCCGAACGTGACGGATTACTTGAATCAGGCATCGGGCTGGAACCCAGGCCGCTTGCACAAACAGGTTAGGGCAACCACGACAACCGATTTTCAAAGCTGGCCTGACCGATGTAAATCGACTCAAGCGTGTCCACGGACATGTCTGTGTCATCCTGCGTGCGTTGTCAGGGTGTTTCATTATCAACCAGATCATCATGGTAAGCTTTCTGGCTTGGTCCTCTCGCGCGGACCACGGAACCAAGCGAGCCTGTTTTGAACGTCCCAGTGCGTGAGAAGCTTTGCATCCATTTTTGGGGAGCGGTTGTGAGAAAGCGCCTGACCACTCCCAGCCGCTGCCAGTTCCACTCGGTTGGCTATTTCCTGAAAAGCGTAAATACGGACATGACAACTTCGCGCGTCCCACACCTTCCTCGCCGAACACCCAGCCTCGTGCCGATGTTCGCTCTCTGCTAAGCGAGCTCGCTTGGCTTCCATGAACCGCTCTCTTTGTGTCTTTCAATGGTGCTACAACTGCTACAATGCTACATGCCCTGTCACCGAGGTTCCATTGGCAGTAAAATCTTGGGCCAGAAATCATGAGTCAAGCTCACCAGCTGCGCGAGCTCCGGGCCATGATATTCAATGCTGATGCTAGCTGGCCTTGGAAATATCCCGGAAAACTCGCCCTCCTCTGCGCAATGATTTCCGTAACCTGGCATCAGAATTGCGGAACCCACAAGCTAGAGTTTGCGGAACAGGTGACCCCACCACCGCTCAAATCCAAGCTCCGAGCCGTGGAAAATTGGATAGCTTCTGACATCCGAAAAGCCTTCCAAGTTGGGATGAGCATCTTTTTCGTATGATAACATTTTGTGCGAAATGTAAGAGCCAAGTGGCATCGAGACTGGCAGCAAGCAGTGGCAATGATTCGGTTCCCAACGTCCATGCTGAACTCGGGCTGCAAAGACCTCCCGCCCACACGTTCACTGCCGACTGCGGAGCGACTTGCACCAAGAAGCTGCCTTTGGCTGAGAAACCGTGCTTGCGGATGCAATCATGAACCACAAACAATGCTGCACTTCTATACAATCATAATCACGACTCTGCGAAAGACATCTTTTTGTTTTCCAACAACACGATGAGAAACAAAGTTGATGTGGAATGACAAACAAGGTGCATGCATCGAAACTAAAACTGCTATTGAGCCCACATGCAGCCGATGCACATGGATGCAGACCTCAGCATTCCGGCAACATGGGTGTGCGCCACTGATGGTAACGATCGACAGGATCGTATTCGATGTCTCTTTCACTGTCATTTGCCACTTCACTTGAACCCTAAACCCGAATTCCTAAACCACACACTATAGACTCTTTTCCGAAACCCCTAACCTCAAAGAAGTTCCTTCCTATTCCCATTCCCGGGTTTAGGATACTTTGTTATGCAGAGCAGCACTCAGAAAGCCTTTTATAGCTGAACCCACGCCCGGCGAAGTCTCTCCTCGCAGGCGTAAACAGCTGATTAAGTCTACACCATGTGAACATTGTGTACGTGAATCATGTATAGAAACAGGACAGCAGAATGTGCTTTGAAGTTTTGACCGATAACCCCATGCATCCTTCCAACGCTTCTCCGTCGAGCCGCGAAACTTCGTGAAGCTGCAGAGGAAACGGCAAAGAGACCATCTTCCAACCTTGGCCTCAGCGCAATACCTTCCACTCAAAACTTCCGTACTCAAGCTGCACCTCATGCAGTTACGGGGCATCTGCACGAGAAGACTTACCTGTTTGTGCTCTGTTCTGAGATGGATTCTGCTTGGCTCACCGGTCGCCTCAGCTAAAACCCATTTTGGAGTCTTGATGTACCCTGGATCTCTCTCTTATATCCATGTTTC